CTCTTTAGTGTGGAGGGTTTTTTTGTACATATGCTTAGAAGTACATTTTGCAAGTTTAAGATACAATATCTACTTTGGCCACATTATGCATGTGAAATGCAGTATTACTGCTTTACACATATCTCTGTTTTAAAGAACTGCAATGTGTAACCTTACTAATCAGTCCCTACATTGCTTGTTTAGTCATTATGACCCCAATCATCCTCAGTGAGGATGGACCCTTCCATCATGTGGAACTCATTACACAGTGAGGCCTTCTTGGGCTGATCAATATTCTGTTTATGAATGGTGCCTCAATTACAGTTAAATATCCTTCATAATCCCAATCAAAGCTGCAGTACATAATCTTAGGATAATAGCTATAACTTTGGCTTCTCTCTCTTCAGTCATCCCACCTATACACTAAATTCTTTGTTACCACTCAAGAAAAAGAGATCTTGGAGTCATTGTGGATAGTTCTCTGAAAACATCCACTCAATGTGCAGCGGCAGTCAAAAAAGCAAACGGAATGTTGGGCATTATTAAGAGGGATAGATAATAAGGCAGAAAATATCATATTGCCTCTATATAATTCCATGGTACGCCCACAACTTGAATACTCTGTGCAGATGTGGTCGCTCCATCTCAAAAAAGATATATTGGACTTGGAAAAGGTTCAGAAAAGGGCAACAAAAATGATTAGGGGCATGGAATGGCTGCCATATGAGGAGAGATTAATAAAACTGGGACTTTTCAGCTTGGAAAAGAGACAACTAAGGGGGGATATGATAGAGGTCTATAAAATCATGACTAGTGTGGAGAAAGTAAATAAGGAAGTGTCATTTACTCCTTATCATAACACAAGAACTAGGGGCCACCAAATGAAATTAATAGGCAGCAGGTTTAAAACAAACAAAAGGAAGTATTTTTTCACACAACACACAGTCAACCTGTGGAACTCCTTGCCAGAGGATGTTGTGAAGGCCAAGACTATAACAGGGTTCAAAAAAGAACTAGATAAATTCAGGGAGGATAAGTCCATCAATGGCTATTAGCCAGGATGGGCAGGGATGGTGTCCCTAGCCTCTGTTTGCCAGAAGCTGGGAATGGGCAACAGGGGATGGATCACTTGATGATTACCTGTTCTGTTCATTTCCTCTGGGGCACCTGGCATTGGCCACTGTCAGAAGACAGGATACTGGGCTAGACGGACCTTTGGTCTGACCCCGTATGGCCTTTCTTATGTTCTATGTTCTTATCTAAAGATCATATAAGAACATTAATTCAGTGCAACAGTAAGTGCTGGGTTTCTAGAAATAAACTGTGTAACTATTCAATAAATAAGTTGCAGTTAGTAGACAATATTATCCTAAAAATGAAATGATGAAGTTATGCATTTATTATTGATGACTGCCATATAATTTGTCAGACAGAATTTTTCCAACTGCAAGCACTGCAAAATCAGCCTGGGATTTAAAATAACAAACTCTGTTCTTTCTCATCGCCAGTAAAAAAATTCTGCAATCAGAATTTAGCTGATAAAATTTGTTGATCCAGGAGGCAGAATAGAACCTAGCACTACATAACTTTGGAAAAGTGAGCTAAGTGTGGCAGAAGAATTTGTTTTATTCAAAGTAAACAGACACCAAAGATAATTGGTTAAATTCTCCCTTGAGTTATACCAGTTCCCATTATTAATGGTACTGTAAGTGCAGAAAGAATTTGGCCCACAGAGCAATTAAAATTAGGAAGCTGTCACTTTACAGTCAGAAAGATGTCTGTGTAAATCTTAAGGCCTGATTTTCAGAAGCTCAGCATTCTGAAAATATGGTCCTCACTCTGTCCCTATGCATGTATTCATTAAAATAGGGTAATAATAATAATAAAGTTACATGTTCAAACATCATGTCTAAAATAATGCAAAATGCCACATGTGGATCTAAAAATCATATCATAAAGACCAAATTCTCCCCTAACTTAAACCTCATGTAAACCTACTGACAAACTGCACTGAAGGAAGTGTAAACCAGGGTAGATTTTGCACAGAAGAGGGTAGAATTAACAGTGACTGATGCGGTCTGTGCACCTTCAAAAGATGTTAAATTTATCTAGCCCAGGATCTGAAAAACAGCATGAAAATTATTCCCTTTTCCTCCTCCTCCCATTACCTCAACTCGTTTTCCTATTTTTTACTAGATTGGTATAAGGTCTTATTATACACCATTGTAGCTACAAGATTAGATAGAACTATTAGTAGAGTCCTGCAAATCCATGGATATCCACTTCATATCCGCAGACCATTTTTGCAGATAGTGTATTGGATGTGGATACAACCGTGCAGGGCTCTGCTCACCAGCAGCACCTGGCCCACGATGTCCGGCTCGGGCAGCCTGAGGGGCGCAGTGTGCTCAGGGACGGCAGCCAGTGGCTGGGCCTGGGCGGCAGGCCGGAATTGGGGCTGTCCAGCACTCACTCACCACACCGCTTCCTGTCCAGCAGCTCGGGCCCCTCGGGCTACGCCAGCGTCCCCATCATGGCCTGGTCAGGTAGCACTGGCTTCACTCCCGGTCCGCTCACTCCTGGTCAGCAGGAGCCCCAGCACCCCATCCCTCAGCCCTGCTGTGATGCAACACACTGCTGCTGCTGTCGCATTCTGGAAGCCAGTTATCTCTGCTAGTGGTCATGTGGGAAGGTCTCTAACTGTTGTTACTGGAAGTGGGATGAGATCCTCTGCTGGCTGCTGAGAATTAAAGGACCTTGTTGCTCTCTCTCCACCCAAACCTCAGATACCACTTCCTCCCACTCCTCCAAATACTTGTGGTGGATGAAAAATGCAATACTGCTGTCTTCTCCTGCGAGGTTCCCTATCATCTTCATTTGTCTGCCCCACCCTGCTTTATGTGGTATTGATACATTGTTCAGTGCCTATCTACTCCTTTCACTGCTCTGCTTAAAGTGCTTACGAAGGGCAGAGAGCAAAGTGCTTCTCTTTTCACTTTGCATGATGGAAGTTTAGCAGGGGGGCGCTCCTGAGACAACACTTTTGGCTCCCATCTCTCCCATGTGCTTAAGCAGAGCGGGGAAAAGGGATGCCAAAATCCTTGGTAATCTTTGCTCACTGACAAAGGATAAGTGCATTTCCAGTTTAGGGTTTTAAGTCAATGGGAGTTGTGGGTGCTCAGTTCTTCTAAATGAAGAGGTCTGATTTTTCAGGTGCCTAAATATTTATTTAGGGGCCATATTTTAAGCACTTAAGTTAGAAAAGTTTAGTCTTGTGAGAGGGTCCAAATTCAACTTTAGTTTCGCCACACAGAAGCCTGTGCAGTCCCGGGATGGCAATGAAGGCAGGATTTGGCTCTATATTTAACAGTTAAGATACCTCAAGATAAAAATATTAAAAGTGCATTAACATTACTTGCTGATCAGTTATTTCCTTAAATCAAGAGTGAGTGGTCTGGCAGCTGCTTTCACAGTTAATACCAATGATGATTGATATCTAGCCAAAACAGAAGAGACTGGACTTTAAAAATCAAATTCTCTTCCAGACAAGTACTGTTGCATTCAGAAAATATGAAGTCACACATTTACCTTTATTTTTAACCATACATGAAAGAGCAACTCTAGCTACTATAATTCTTCATGCTAATCTGCCTATAATGGTGCAGCTTTATCTAGAACACAATCATAGATTTGATCATTGCTACAATTGCTCTTGCTTAAGCAAAAACAGATTCATCAGGATTATGTGAACAGATGTTTCTCAAGAATGTAATTCCTCATCTCTAACTTTATACCGTATTTCTTAGAATAATTTCATTGTTCCTTGATCAAATGAAAAGTACTGTACATAAATTTCTTTTCAGAACACTTGACAAGACATGCATAAATGTACGTGCGCACTAATGTCCTTATTAAACTGAGATTTTAAATTTCTTTAAATAAAAAAAACCCAGGCACAGCTATGTGTATCTTAGACAGTGCTGAAATCTAAAAGATAAATCAAGCTAATCTATCTACATAAAGGCAGAAGCCTCAAGCTGTAACTGGCTATATTTTCCCAAGGAGTTTGAGAGTCGGTGTTACATGAGGGACACAATAGTCTTGATTTCAGCACCTAAGTATTTTTTACAGTCAGTCTTGTATTTGTTGGACTAGTGAGTGAATCCAGGAAGAATATATATCTTTTAAAGTTATCCATAAATTAGAAAATACACATTACAATATCATTGTTGTAGCTCTGACTGGCTTGGACTTCTAGTAAGTTGGACATCTTACACCCATTTTAAAAATACACCTCTACCCCGATATAACACGACCCAATATAACACGAATTCAGGTAAAGCAGTGCTGGGGGGGCGGGGCTGCGCACTCCGGCGGATCAAAGCAAGTTTGACATAATGCGGTTTCACCTATAACACGGTAAGATTTTTTGGCTCCCGAGGACAGCGTTATATCGGGGTAGAGGTGTATTAGAATCAGCTCTGTTTTTGAAGTTGTAGCCCAGGAACTGTCTAACTTCAGAGCAATATTTCAAAGGAGAAGTTACATCGTGGTTTAATATACACTGTACTAAATGCTGCATTGAGGAATTTTGCGTCTCTCAAGCTGTAGTAACAATTTAAATTTAAACACACACACAATTCCCTGAAGGGGCAGATTTAAGTAGACAGATGCTAGGAACTACAGCAACAGAGTAGTCGCCAAGCCCTTTACTTGTATTGCAATCAACTACCTGAGTATGTCAAATATCAAAGCATCTGCTCCCGGGCACAAAATACTGAGTTGAGAATTATTTAGTGTTTGGCTAGAAGTCATAAGTCAAGGAGGTGCAGTTAGATCAGACGTGGGTTTCCCCACTAGCCATTCGTCATAGGTTAATGAATTAGCATACGGATAAACATCTTTACACTGTCTGACTTTTTATTTTGGTTGCTCTTCAAATGCTTTATAACAGACAGACAGACACACACACACACCCGCCGCTCTCAAACTGCCCCGGAGCTTGCCCAGCAGCAGCCTACCTGCCACGGACCGCCCGATGCTGCGCAGGGCGGTGATGGAGGGGTGCTGCTGGTGCACCTCCTTCAGGAAGGTCTCCAGCTGCTCGCTGTGGTGATAGCTGAACTCCAGCCCGGCCACCACCGGGAGCAGGAGCGCCAGGCACAGGCTGCCCGCCTCCTGGAAGCAAACAGAGACGCCGTGTGACACGGGGGACGGAGCCCCGCTCGCCACGGCCCGCGGGCTCCAGGGGCTCAGCGCCTCCTTGTCCCACCGCCCCTCGCTCTAGACGCCGGGCTGAAGCCGGCCGGTGTCCGTTAGCCCGCCGGTGTCCGTTAGCCCGCCGGTGTCCGTTAGCCCGCGGGGGAAGGGGTGCAGTGCAGGTGTTGCCCCGCCCGGGCTGAGAGAGGCGTCCCCACCCCCCGTTACCGGCAGCAGCATCCCGGAGCGCGCTCCTACCCGCATGGCTCCGGCTCGGAGCAACGGCGGCGCCCGCACCTCCCGGCACAAGCGCTGCAGCCCGGGCGCAAGCCGTGTAACCCCCTCAGGGGCCGTGCCCTGCCCGCTGACTGACGCAGGAGCCGTCCAGTCAGGGCCCCGAGGCCCGCCCATGGCAGGGCGGGGGTGAGAAGGGCTCGGGTCTGTCTCCCCCTCTCCTGAGGCTCGAGGCTCTGCGGGAGGCAGCCGGGCGGTGTGGAGCGTGGACGGTCTCATCTGCTCTAGGAAAGGTTGGTTGGAGGGGGCAGCGGAGCCTTCAGCAGAAAGGGTCCCCGCCATGGCCACCAGCCTGAAATGCTGAGCAGGGTAATGGGAGGCTCAGGGGCTGGAAACATCCCGCTGATTGCAACGTTCTGACAAACCCCTGGCTGAGCCTTTTCACGCCAGTGATCCCCACTAAATCCCTCTTCTCAAAAGGAAAAGCTACTCCCCAGTCACATGGGGTGGGGCGGGAAGGGGGCTGGTGAGAGACACACGAGGTAGAGGGGCAGTCGGGGGTGGCTGCTGCCTCAGTTTCTCCAGCTGCAGAAGGTGGATAATACACCTTCCTCTGTGACACAGGTGTTTAATATACTTAAAAATAGGCAAGGATTTAGTTAAACAACAAAAAAGAATAAAGAGGATTTTTAATGGAAAAATGTAAATGTTGAGGGGGTGAATATAAACCATGAAACTTTAAAATAGAATGTGTATGTGTGTGTACACAAAGTTTTATTACAAGCTACATCTATGAGGAGAAAATAAAAGCGAACACCTGCTAGCTGGTGTAGATAGACATGTCTTATATATTACTGCATGCATTTTAAAATGTCCTTGAGTCAACATTTGTGTGATGTCAGGTTCTCCTCTTCCCCTTTCGCTTCCCTCCCCCATAAGAAGCCCTTTTAAAAAGTTACTTGTTTAAGTTTTAACAGTTTACAGATGATCACCATACAGGTATCTGAAATACAATATTAGCCCCCAGTCCTGCAAAGACTTAAACCTTTAACTTTATACACTACAAGTAGTCTCATTAAACATGTGTGTATGTGCCTGTTAAAGATAAAATGGCAGGCTATTTTTCATTTAAGCCCGTTCTTGCATGCTCATAACATTTACCTTTTGGGGTTGAACTTGTCCATGTCCATGCTTGAGGTCTGCCTAAATATGCTTTGTTGTTTGTTTAAATTTGAGCAAATTCTTTTCAGCGATTTGAGTTATGTAAGTATGAAAAGTAAACACCATTCTGATTGTTAAAAAAACAAAAACCCATACATCCACAAACAGAGCTACAGTAAAAATAATTGATGTTTAAAACCTGCAACTTGGTATGGACAAATCCTTCACTGAAGATTAATTTTGGTGGTAATCATTAGTTCTGTAAATGTCCAGGGCATTGTACAGCTATAGGTCAGGGTCCTGCCTGATGCATTTACAATGTAAAGACACAAGTGAGGGAGCGAGGAGAGAACTGAGTATTTGCTGTATCCCAACCCCAACTCTGCAATGACATGGAACAGGCATTCCCATAGGAAGACTTTAAAATACTCTTGTTTACTGGGAGATGCACTCACGCTCCCCATAGCCTGGCAAAGCCTTCCCACCCCCACCCCCAAAAAGTGAATTGTGCTCATCATCACTAATCCCAATCATAAAGGAACACATACACAATATCTGGGTGTGGACAAAGGATTGGCCAGTGTGTATGCACACAAAATTCAATTATCAGCTACTGTACATGCTTGCACGGGGGCATGATGCTGTGCTATAAAAGTCAAAGTCAGTGTGCTGCAAGCTATTGTTTGGAAAAATCTCCCTAACAAGTAGCAATAAAAAGTTTATAGTGTACCTAACTCTCATATTGTGTTTCTGAAACACCTTAAAAAAAGCTGCTTCAGAATTAAACTAAAAATCTAATGAATTAGCTTTCCCCTCTCTTGCCTTCCCTCATCCCTTCAATCTTGCAATCAGATTTTTGAAGGCATAGGGGCCATCCAAACAGAATCAAATATAGGAACAGGGCTGCCTCGCCTTGTAAAGTCAAGCTGCCTTTGTTACCTCTGTCCAGCTCAAGTTGCAATTTACCACTGTTGCTTCCCAGAGGATCTGGTTCATCTGAGATTACTGGAAAGGCAAAGGTAGCCAGGGACACTCTGGGGGTTCAGTTTATTATTTATTATTGTTAATAGTAAATAAAGCACAGGGACTGGAATACATATTCCTTATGTATATCCCTATGTTTGTAATTTTTGGCTAAAAATTTAGCCCTTTTTAAAATTAATTCATACATCACGTCAGCAGGAATCCTGGGTTTTGTCCCTGACTGCCACTGACCTTTGGCATATCTCTTCATCTCTCAGTTGTCCTGTTTCTCCATCTATAAAATGGGGATAACATTTGCCCTGTGCCCCTTGATTTCAGTGGGAATTAGATGCCTAAATACCTTAGAGGATCTGGGCCTTTGAGCACTACCGATGAAAAGTTCTATATAAGTATTATATTCTGAAATCTCCTAAATTTTAATTGCAGGGACTACAATTTACTTTAGTTAGTAATATAAAGTTTTACTGACAATTTTTAATCGGCAGAATGAACCAAACATAGTCATGCAAATAACTGGGTTATTACAAGAAGAAGAATACTTGATGCTTATGACTTCATCTTTAAAATGCTTTACAAATATTCTACAATTAAGGGTCCGATCCTTCATTCCATCCACTGAAGTGAGTGTGAGTTTTAGTGTGCAACTTTTAAATGCACAACAAATGCACGCTCTAACTGCTTTATTAGACAAATGTAAGTCACATTTTAAGGCCCATTGTATTTTAACAGTGATCAATATAGCCCTGTAAAATATACATATTTTTCTGTAGGAGTAACAGCATTTCCAACCAAGTGTTCAAAAATCGTAAGTCTGACCCCCAAAATCACAATAGTAGCTTTAAAATCATAAGATTTGTTTAATGTTTTTATTTCTCATATGGTTTCTGAGCCTTTGGGTGCATTTGAATCATATTTTCATTTCAGGCTTTTTGCCACAACCATGAGGACTAGAAATGTACTATTTTTTTAAATAAAAAAATGAAAACTGAGATTCTCACCCAATCACATCTCTCCAGGGGCTGGGACTTTAAGAAAAATAGCAAATATTGAAAGATTTACAATAAAATTGCAAAAATTGGCAACAATGAAAATCCAACCCTCCATCTCTCCAGGCTGGTGTCAGCAGAGGGAATATGCACAGCACAGGAAAGACAGTCTCCCTGCTCTCACTTCCTGTGCCTGGGGCCACTGTAGCCCTCAGGAGCTGGAAGGAGCAATTACAGGGAAAATCCTGCTCAGCCTCTGCATTCCTGGGATGGTGCATGTTCAGTGCATACAGAAAAATCCTCAAAGAATTTGGCGGCCCAACTCCAACAGATCTCTACTGAACATTTGTGAACTGAGACTTTTCAAAAACTCCTCATGTACCCAAATTTGACTGAATTTTCCCAAGGCACCAGTGTGATTTCTTTTCCCTCTCCACCAGCCCAATGTCCAGCCAAATTTCAAGTCCCTGCTCCAAAAGCATTGAGGTGCTAGAGCTTCTCAACATGGCAGTTGTAATAATATTTGTTAACATGGGCAAAATGGTGTATTTTCCGTTTCCCCCATTTTCATTCTTGGAAACAGCTGACCCATTTTAGCTGAAAATTCAAAACAAACAAAACTAAACTAAACTGAACAAAAAAACAGCCTATGGCAGACACCCAGCATGGAAACTTTCAGCCCAAGCACTTAAAGTTTGGCAAAGCTATGAGCAAGTGAAAATGGGATCTTATAGTGGAAAGTATCAGGCAACTTCAACTATACGCAGTGTTACCAACTCTGGCTATAAAATTGAAAAGGATTGAATTATTTCTTCAGAATTAAATACTTCTCCTGTTTTGGACCAAGTGTAATTTGCTTGATTTAGAGAGATGTCAGCCTTAAGATCTATTTCCTCAATATTTTCAACACCTTTTATAATGATTGTTAAAGTCTGAGGTTGAAAGAGCCTGACATAGGAAAGTCAAAGAACCTGCCAAGAAAAAATTAGGCTGGCATCAAGATTTCTTTTAAAACATGCTTCAGAAATTGGGGTATGCCAATTTTTTTTAAAGGCCTCTATCTTGTGACACCTTCCAATGAAAGTAAAATGGCAGTAGCATAAACCTATCTTTTGTAATTGCCCACTGCCCTGTTCTTGCCAGATTCTGTTTTGCACCTTCTTCTGAAGTATCTTGTACTGATCACTGTCAGAGACCTGATACTGGATTAAATGGACCATTGGTCTGATCTAGAATGGCAATTCCTACATTTATATTAGAAGAAAATTCTCTGCTTTGATTAAATAAAAAGCTGTCAAATCTTATAAAAAATTATTTTAAACTATTTTAAGCAAGTATTTGTATTGTGCACTTTAGTTTATCAAACATTTAAATTTAAAAAATGAAGATGTAAGACAGCGAAGTTTCTAGTTTCAGGGCTGCTTGAAAGATTATCCTAATTGCACTATTCAAGTGAGGGAGGGAGGGAGGCAGATTTCTTCACCCTGTAATGAATCTAGCTCATAGTAGGTCATAATTCTATTGACAGTGATAAAAAAAAAAATCAAAATACATGGCTGAGGTAGAGCAGGAGGATGCAAACAGCACGGTGAAATAACACAGGTGTAATTACTTAACTTGATTGGAACAAATAAAATCACATCTGATGTCATGCAGTTGTAACCTTTGTGTGGGCTAGAGTTCACATCAGTTCCCCTCTCCAGTGCCTTAAAAACAAAAACAAAAAAACTCCCATAGAAAGTAGCTGGAGACCCAGAGTTCAGTCTCTAAGGATTTTCAGCAAGGATTGCACAGGGTCAACCTCCCCACATTCAAGTCCCAAAAGGAACTAAACAAATGAATTTAATTAAATAACTTTATAAAATTTTATGATAAACAAATAATCTAATTTTTACAGCATGACATGGCTATTTTATAATCCGCAGACATTACCTTCAGTTATAC